CCTCCGGCCGATAAAGACCGCGGTTGCGCACCCCACCCGCCGCATCTGCGGCTTGATTCGCCCAGCACGCGAGCTGCACGTTCGGCTGCGACCGCCGCCGCTTCTTTGGCCTTGGCCGCCGTACGCACGGCTGCCCTTGTTTTGGCCTCCGAACCCTTTCGCTGGAGGAATACCTCTCTCCCTCAACCAGAGACAAGAAACTTCCCGCAGACATGTGTTGACATCCCCCCTGCCAGTTCGCGCTCCCAGTCTACCTAACAGGGCGCGTTGCATCATTGCTTTTTCGTCCGGCAACTCCTCCGGAAGGACTGGGTAGTTGCACAGTCTCTTATGCTTTATGTAACCCCGCGCATGTTTGTCAACGCCCCCACCCCCACCTCCTCTCCTTCCCTCCGCCTATCAGGCATGGCGGCAAACTCCCAAGGAGGTACTGAATCCGACGCGAAACGCGGTAGGCCCGGGCAGGTTCACCTCCATTGGCGGGGTAAGCGACGCCACCGCGCATTGCTCCGACGAAGAGGTATGCAAATGATGCACATGTCGTTCAAAAAAGCGTGTTGAGACTACATACAGTACTTCTGTCCAAGACGATTGCGTTGGTTACAAGTGTCACTCCGTGGACACCGCAACCGGCGGCGGCGCTGTAGCAGTAGCAGCGGGGACGGCAGGGGCAGTTACAGTCATCGCATGGCAGCAAAGCAGCGGCCACCCCACAGACACCCTCGCTGCGCTCGCTGCTGCGAGGTACCTGGTATGTAGAATTTGGTGTGCGGTATGTTCTTCGAGGACGAACCACAATTTTGATGCCGATAAGGAGCGGGTAGGCGCAATGCCACAGGGCAATCGCCACAGTATGACATCGCATCATCACGATCGGCAACAAACGTGCCTTGTTGCGACGAAGGAGCAGCTACGTTGCAAGTGTGGCGATATGAGGGAGAGTCGGGTGGAACAGCAACTGCATCGCGGGGGCGAAGCAAGACGCGATGCAGCTCGCTGTCTCTCTCTCTTTCTCTCTCTCTCTCTCTCTCCCTCTCTTCCTCTCTTCCTCTCTTCCTCCCTCTCTCTCTCTTCCTCTCTTCCTCTCTTCCTCTCTTCCTCTCTTCCTCTCTTCCTCTCTTCCTCTCTTCCTCTCTCCCTCTCTCCCTCTCTCCCTCTCTCCCTCTCTCCCTCTCTTCCTCTCTCCCTCCCTCCCTTCTTCCCTCCCTTCTTCCCTTCTTTCTTCCTCTCTTCCTTTCTCTCTCCCTTTCTCTCTTTCTCTCTCTCCCCTTCTCCCTCTCTCTCTCTCNNNTTGTGTCTCCACCGCTCTCTTTCTCACTCACCGTTTCTCCACCTGTCCCATCCAATCCCTTCGCTCGACTCGCCCTGGCGAAACACGAGCGACCACCCGATCACCCAGCCAGCAGAGCACGTTTGCACCGCAACAACATAACCGCAAGAGCTGGCACCCTCTCTGCGACTTTAAAAGCTTGAAATCTCGCCCCCGAGAACAAGCTACTACACACAGCATACGGTACCATCGGCTGGGTTCACATGCAGTGGGGTTGCTGCGCCTTCTTTTGCAAGTGCTCTCGATCTGGAAGGATGGATCCTTGCCAAGGCCATTTTCTTGGCGGCATGTCGGGGGACCCCGCGGACAGGAATATTGTGATGTGTTGTTCGGCTACAATATTTATTTGCGTTTGTTTTTCCCGCTTAAACCGTTGTTCCTGTTGGCCCGCCGGTTGTGTATCCTGACCCATACAAAGTAACACACAAACTACCGCACCAGCGTGCCCCCCCGCCGGTCAGAACAAGAGGGCACGTGGATTCAAATACGTGATGCCCCCCCCCATTTTTCAGGCGCTTAATCCAGTTTGGTCAAGGCGCTTATTGTATAAGACTTTCCATAATGTATAGGATTTAGTGTGACATTATAAAACCCATACAATAGAGAGGTGAATATGACCACACCAAATCCTAGACCTTTCTTTGTAGCCTCTTTTAGCAGCAGCAATCAATCAATCAATGTGGTCCTCCTGCAACAGCAAGGAAGGGTATCAGCAAGCAAGCACCCCGTCTGCTGTTCCCTATAGAGAAGACAGGGTTCACAGCAGCAGCAGCATCATGTATAGGCTGAAAGTAAGTAAGAGAGGTGTAAGGTTTCGAATAGCCATATGCATGCATACTAAATGCTATACAATAGAACATGTATCGGTTATACTATACCACACTATTTCCTATATATATCTGTATACGGTATATAACAGACCCCTCCCCCTCCCCCTGATCTGGTCCTTCATCCAGTTTTGGGGTGTGCATCACGTATTTGAATCCACGTGCCCTCTTGGTCAGAAGAGTAGAGAGTGCTCTCTAGCGTTTGTTGACTTGGCATGACTGATTGACGAAGGCAACAACAAAGCAACCAAAACAGTAGCACCGATACCCAAAGCAACGGTGCCCTCTCTCCTCTCGGATTGTGTCTCAGAAAGATTCACACCCCCCGCCCCCGCCCCCACCCCCGCCCCCCTATGCCTCCGTGCTTGAACAGGAAAGCGTAAGCAACAACGAGCTAGGACCACCCCCAACGCACCATCCTGGACAGTTAATGTTCGGTCAAGCTCCGGGACACCCGCCATAAGGGAAATGGGCGCGTGATAAATAGCACTCTCTTCTTTTATTTTTATTTTTGCTACCATATTGCCCACTTTGTTCCAAAGCACGCACATGCATCATTGGTTGCTTTCAGCACCAACCGTTTTTTTCTTGCCTGTCGGGGACGCGTTGATTCCGAACGCATCACTCTGTGCGCTTCGCGCATAGTGCAAGAATGCCAGCATGGGCTCTCTTTGACAGGGTGGTTTAAGGCACATGACCTTTTTTTTTTGTTAGGGCGAGCGTTCCTGCTCACGTTCTAAAGGCCCGCGTGGTACGTGTTAAACATCTTGTTTTTTTGTTTTTTTGTACTTTCTTCGTGGAAATCGTGGTGATCTCCGCAGGCGGTACCCAGCGTAGAATGAGTCTCTTGGTTTTCGCGTACTCTTTTGCGGTCGGATAATGTAGAAAGGTTGGTGGTGCTCCTTTTTTGCGATGACAGCAAGCGTTGGATGCATGCCATCGCTTGGCGCCTCGTTTGTTGCCATGGTTGCGGTGATAGCAAGCAGTGGGTGCATGTCACCGAACCGCTTGCCGCTTGGTCGGAAGAGGTAGTGTAGATCATTACACAGAAGGTCTAGCATCTGGCCGCCTTTTGTGCCTCGTCTATGCGTACTAGCTGGGCCCGGTAGGGAGTGCTGTTTTTGGTTTTGTTGACGCTCTACTCGAGCCGGCCTGCTTGTGATAGCCTTCGCAGGTGATAAGTTCCAATGTTGAATAAAGTATGCAATTGGGGGAGTTGGGGTTACGGTTAGGGTCTGCGTACCCCCCTCCCTGTTCTATTTCCTCATACACTTAATTTCTCGCGAAGGCGGTCCCATTGGCTAGTTTTGGTAGTGTTTTAGTTTAGTTGACGCTTCACAGTTATTGAGAACCGGTCGGTTTTGGCTCACAGCTATGGAGATATTAAAAGGTTGGGGTATTGCGGTGTCCGTGGGCCCCTAGTAGGGCATCAGGCACGTTGGCCTTGCCGCAGCAGCACTACAATTCACAGAGGTGTCGCTTGGGCGTTCTCTGTCTTCGTTAAGGCGATGGTGCCGTGCATAGGGTTTCAGTTCCTTTCGTTGTTTCATTTAGCGTTACAGCTACGATGCTGTTTCAACCGTTTCATGGTGTGTGGCGGTGGCACGGTCTCGCGACGATATGCACTGCCGTCGGTTTTCCCAGCAGGCTGTGCCTCTTGTATTGCCGTGTTTAGTATCTCGGTCGATGTGTATCTTTTGTTCATGGTTTAGACTTGATCATTTTCCCTCATCCAGGTGGGTTGTCTGTTAATGCTTGAAGAGTATCCGCGTACATTACTGTATAGGGTTCAATTTTTGGTGCTCTTTGTTGCATCTCTGTTTTTTCATCGATTGTCGTTTTACGATTTGTTTGATCTTTCTACATACAAACGGAGTCGTCCCTTGGTTATTTAGTTACAGGTACAATGTATATCGTTGGCACTTGTGTTCGCTCTTTTGAATCGACACCGTTTCTTGGCGATGGCCGGTAGGTACTGCACTGTTTGTATATTTTTTCTGCCCTGGCACGCAAGAACAACTTCGCCACCAGTTTCAGCGACACTGGAAGGGTAAGGGTTACCGTACTGTGTATGTGTGGTGCCTTTCATGGGATGGTTCATGTGTTTGAGAATCTTTGTCCGGAGCACGAACGAGAGGCTCGTAAAAGAAATCATGTTTGATTTTTGATGTCATCAACTTGATTATTCTTGCTGCAGAGTAAGAAAACTGATAAGCATCTCGACCAGTTTCGTCGGCGTTGCCTGTCTGAAGCTTTCCTTGCTTTTTTTTGACGGGAAGCCGCAAGTGCTTACTACGGTAACACTCTCGAGCACGAGACACAGCAAGAACAAAGTTACTGAAGAAGGAAGACGTCCAGACCGCGATGAAGACCTCGAAACTTCATCTAAATGATTAATTTTGTTGTGGAGTAAGAAAGTGAGGACGGCGTGGAAGCCACAGTAGCTTGTAGCCGTAGTCTGTTGCGGCTATACGTAGCACACTACGATCGCCATGTTGGGACCCGATCAACTCTCCGTCCATTGGATGTTTCCGCGTTTTCTCTGAATGAACGATTGCATTGGATTTTTTTCCAATAGAAGGCCGACATTTTGCGGTGAGCAGGCATCGGTATAAATGCCAATCATCATACCACATGTGTATGCACGAAGAGACCGGACCGACACAAGGCACGCTGGTGTCTGAAACTGCATGTAGGCCCCGGCACAGAGCACAGAAATCGCGCGAAACGTGGCACGAACAAGACGAAAAAGACCCCAGAGGTCTGTACGTGGGTCGATTCGGCGTGTGTGTGCGAAGGGTGATGATGGTAATCGCCCGTCTACATGTTGATTGAATGATGCTCGACAGCGACAGGACGACACGATCGATTTCTCTCTAACATTCGGCGTGCGAAGGATGATTGGCGAGCGCCCGTCTACATGTTGAATGATGCTCGACAGCGACAGGACGACCACGATCAATTTCTCCCTCACATGGTGTATTCGGTTCTTCTGTTGCACCCACTTCCTCTGTATTATTGGCTACAAAGACTAGAGGGAAGAGTCTCAAAATGAGGGCAAGCCCAAAAACAAATGATGAGTGGTCAGTATCCAGCAGATTTTTTTCTCAACACTCACTACTACTGTAAAGACTTCAAAGCACACGCCTTCGGCTGGGGCGCTATCTCGAACAATTGATCCTGGAACGGATACAACAACTGTGTGCCTGCTCGTGGTGATCGGTTGTTACACACCGAACAGAGCAAGCTGCTGTGTCGATTATATTATTTGATGCCAGTTTTTTGTGTTCGTTGTTCATCATATAATAATAAGTAAGTCGGTTTCACTTCGGCTTCATCGGCCCACACCCGCCCTCGGGTGGAATATTATACCTTCAGTGTTCTGAAAATGCACAGATCACATGCATGCGCATTTATCTACGCAATAAAAACCGTAGGAGGGGCCCTAGTTACAACAACACTCACTGCAGTTGGCGTGTGTTGCATGCAACCCGGAGGACACTCTTCTGTCTACCTGACTCCGGCAACGACACGCCGCCAAAAACCCATCCCACTCATATCTGACGACCTTGTTCTAGATCCGCGGGCGGGCGTGCTAGTAAGTAGTGCTTCGCGCAGGCATTCGTGAAAAAGAAACACAAGCGGACGGTGTCATGCAGTCAGAAGCGATGTGTGTGCATGTAGTCCACGGCGGTGCTGTACAACAAACGCATTTAATTAATTTGAACGAGAGCGGAGGTAGAGCGGACGTCAGGCAGTCCCCCAAATTGCGACTCCCCCCCCCCCCCGCCCCAGCGCCGCCACGGGCTGCGCTACCCACTGCTTCTGAACTACTGCCACAACCGCCAATGTTCGCCACACCAAGCTGTCGATTTAGTGCTGCATGAAGGCATGGTGTGTTGTGTGTTGTGTCTTTTCTTCGCCATCAGAAATAATAACATAAGAAAATCAGCCGGATGCGACAGCCCAAAGGAATAACAAATCCGTTTTAAGAAATTGGCCGACTTCGGCTGGTCCCTCTGCCCACCACAAGAAATTAAGGTTCGACCCGATTTTGACGTTTCTTATCTCCGGGCCGCATCTGTACCGTACGTGTGTTCCTGTAGCACGGCTGGGCGAGCGTGGGCCGGCTTCTGACGAGCAGATACGGAACGGGTAACGAGAGCGAGGCATGTTTGCAATCCATCTAACCTCGTGGTAACTTTTCGACGATTCGTGGTAATTTTTCGAAGTTCTCCTCCCTCCGGGGGGGGGGGGGGGGG